AGGCCTGTGGAGCGATATTTTCTCTCCAATTTCCTAGCATTTTGCTTCAAAGTGCGCAGCTCTGCATTGGTACAAGGACATATTTAGGGTGTTTCTACACATGAGGAACAAGCAGCATACAGTATTTATCACACAACTATTTGCTGCTAATTGTATTTTTTAAATAAACTTTTTTAATTCAATTTCAATTTTCAATTCAGTTTATTTATATAGCGCCAAATTCACAACACATGTCATCTCAAGGCACTTTACAGTTTTACAATTTAGCTGCATTTTTCAAACAGACCAGGAAAGAATAATATACTGTGTTTATATGATCCCTAAATCTGGGTGTACGCTGTACGATTTTTTTGCCCTTTTCGGGCCGATTCTCCAGTTATGCTAGAATTTTTCGATGGGGCCGACTTTCAGCCTGATCGTGCGTTGTGCAGTTTAGAGTGGGTAACGAGAGGCAATCAGCGTCTCACAGTTACCTCCCAATCAGGAATTGTAAGGTCAGGAGAAAATCAAACATGTTTGAAATTCAGTTGGCCATCTTCAGGTCATATCGGAGCGTTGGGCCCCACAGTGGGAGAACTTACATTGTGAGCTGTGAACTTTTAAACCTTGTGGATTCATCACATAGTTTGAGTTGTAGCTGCGATTGAAAAAAACAGTGTATATCAAGCTTAAGGTAAATTTTCCCACAGCTGATTATCATTGAAATTTGTCATGATCTGGCCTGTTTGTTTCTGCTTAATTGGTTATTCCTCTCACCTGTTTTCCCTCCCTGGCTCAATTATAAATTATTCCTCTCACCTGTTTCCTCTGGGTTTTATTCAGTTCAGCCTGAGCATTCAGTGCCAGATCATTATTTGTCTTTTTGTTAGTCTGTCTGTTATTTTGATTCCTTGGTTCATGTTTTGGATCCTGGCGGCCAGTGGAAAGGGGTTTTCGTGTTTGTCTCGTCTCCTGATCTTCCACTGTTCCTCCCCCGCTGAGTCCTCTGGGTTTTTTGCTCTATATGTAGGGAGGTTCAGTTTTTATTCCAGTCGGCCTGGCTCCAAGGAGGAGACCAGTTTAAAGGTCCTGCATCAAGTTCTGGTTCCACGTCCTGTCTCTGCTACCCTCTGCCACCTGATCCTGTCTGCTCCTGTGCGTGACCGTCTGGCCACGCTTCTGAACCTGTCTGGGAGCTTGTTTTTGCCCGGAAGCCTGTATGTTGTCACCTGTCTGTTCCTGTCTGCCCTGTATCCCTGCCCTGGATCGGCTTCCTGCAACTCCTCCAGAGCTGCAACTCCGGGGACACTCTGGGTGACGTGAGCCACGTCAGCTGTCAGCCCATCGGCTGGATTGCACCCCCCTCAAGGGGTTTGGACTGGACTGCTTAACCAGGTAAGTGACTCACTGAGAACATTATCTTCAGTCAGATGATCGTGGTCACTTACCTGTGTTTCTCCCACAGAGTGTCAGAGATTGGCCGGTGCCCCGCCCCCCTCCTGCAGTGTCCGCAGTTTTTTTTGTTGATTTTGCGCCCAAATAAGAGATTTTCTGAAAGAATTCAATAAGCCTTTTGATTTTTCTAAATTTTGTCCTTTAAGGATAGTGTTAATTACTTTTAATTAAATTTGTCAATGGCCTATAGAAACCTGGAATTGGTTTATTCCTTTGGAGTTGCACAACAATAGGAAAAGAACAATTAATTGAAACGGTATAAGCGTTACAATTGGAACTAACAGCAGCACTGAGCTTCACATCTGGAACATTGGTTTTAATAGATTTCTTAAATTTGATCTTTTTGATGTATTTTGTCATGCAGGACAGTGTTAAGTCCCAAAAAAACCCTGAATAAATGTTTTTTAACATTTTACCATCACTGTGATCAGTTCCTATGCATAATGCACTTAAATAAATATTTAACTGAGTAAAAGTATTGTTGAAATTGCACACTTTTCTTAAAAAAAATGAGGTCACTCATAATATGTTTTTTAAAGTTAAATTTGCTTAATATTAAAATCAACAACACTTATAACAAATAAAGTCCACTTTTATTAGTACTGCTTAATCTTGCCATGAGTTTACTTCAGAAAAAAACTGTAAAACTGTGTTGTCATCTGTTTTTTGGTCCTAAGTGCAAACATGACCATGTCCAGATATTCATCCCAGGTTTCTGGTTTGGATCCCACAAGTTTGCTTAGAGACCTGAACAGAAACATTTTAATGTTGACATTATAATATGATTTAACTTGTGAAATTGGGACTTTTTTTGTGGATGAGTAACAGCTACCTTTGGATAGTGCCGCCCATTCTTTCCACCAAACCATTTGTCTGTGGATGGTAGGGCGCACAGACAGTTTTTCACAGACATTCTTATTTATCTGTCCCAAAGATAACAAATTCATAAGTCAAAAACTGCGTGCCATATTTTAAATTTTTTTTTGGTGAAATACAACTT